TTGCAGATCTTAATTGAAAAATACGATTTTTTTTTCTCAAAACTGACACATCTAAAGTTCGAAAGAGTTCTTCTTCCGTCACTGAGGTTGCTGCTGTTCAGTTCGTGCAAACTATTAGTAATATTTAGCTTATTGGCTTTACTCTGTGTAATTTTTGAATGGATTAATGCTCAAAAACCACTGGCTCTGCAGAAATGGTATGCCCAAACCCATGTTTGGGATAAAGAAGAAGGTTGTTTCACTAACGCAACCTTGTTTCCAAGACCGCTACTGCAGTTTTGTAGCATTATAGAGAGAACCATAGAGAGAAAGTCTCATTCAAAAAGAAAAACAGCTTTAGGAGAAACCTGAAGGAAATCCATCATGATAATGAACCGGCGCAAGTTTATCATCTTGCTGAGGACATCCTCAACTCGAACAAAATTATGAAGAATTTCACGGAAAACCTGATAAAATGATCTAACTAGAGGGACTGATATAAGATTGCTATGGTGATTAATCGATCTCTGCAAAAAGAAACATCAAAAAATTATTTATTCAGTACTTAGTTTGTATCCTCCCAGACAAGTTTGGTACCAACTAACTGACCCCGGAGGGTTAGAAAGCTTGGTTGGCCAGAAGTTGGCACGTCAGCGATCCTTGAATGGTACGCATGGTAAGCAGCGCTATTTGTCAATACTCCACTTCCCCCAATTTGTATGCAGGGGAGCCAATAAAAAAGACATTTTGTCTCCAGACTCAAATGGATTTAATCACACTTTGCTCAGCTCAAAGCGTGTGCTCCCAACTTAGAATTGAAGAGCGCATTTCATTTCATAAGAAAACCGGAGCTCATCCGGTAAGGGGGGGCATTGTGATGCAACGTCTAATAGCTGCCCTCACCCCCCACCCCTGAACTGGCTTCACTCCCCCTGGCTCACGGGGTCCCGTACTTCGAGAAACCTGTGCGCCAGGGGGAGTGTAGGCAGTCTAGGGGTGGGGGGTGAGGGCAGCCACTTGATGCCCATCCTTACTGGATGAGCGCCAGAAAACCTTCATAGTGGCCATCTACGTGGACGGCATCAGAAAAGTTTGCCCCGGAATCATGGTGCTCTGGTCGAGCTCAATGGGGTTCTCGACTGATCGTGTACCGTTACGACGGGTTCCGAAGGAGGGGGGGTTCCCGAGGGGTTTGCATAGTTAGAGCTAATGTCCCTAGGAAATTATCCCATGTTTAATCGATCCAAGAAATTATGTAAGAGCTTCAGGATGAAGCAGTTATTGTAGGCTCCTGAGCTCGACGACGGTGACAGATGACGTCATATCTGAAGGGAGTGAAGGACGGGCCTGCGTGTACTCATAGAGGGAGATTTATGGAAGATGCTGAAAGTGAAAACTTCCATCAACGACGGCAATCTCTGCGAAGAAAAAAGGGACGAAGTGCGACCCTAGGCAGAATGTTCCCTTTTTTGGCCTTTGAATTCGGAGCGATCTCGTTTGTCGCAAGCGGACCTATTAAAAGTCGAAATGAAGAAGTTTTCAAACATTTCGGCGCCACTGAATATACAAACAGACTGTATGTGTGAATTTGCAGAACGTATAAACTTTTTGAATGTTAAGGGAGATAATACAATAAGAGATGGTCTTGCCCGGTATCAGTGAGTCACCCTTCGAATCTACTCGGAATCCCTCTTCTCTCTGAACGGAGATGGTGTCGATGACCACTAACGGTGCTGCCAACCGAAGATAGCCCCATATGGAATCTCTGGATTGGAATTAAACGGCCCTATTATTTTCATTTCTAATATGGGCGGAAGTGGTGTAGTGGCAAGTGGCGCGCTTACCACGCGAGCGGTCCGGGGATCAAATCCTGGGTCGTGAGTCGCCCGGGCCAACCAAGCCTTCCATCCCTCCGGGGTCGGTTAATTGGTACCAGACTTGTCTGGGAGGATAAAAACACTGACTTGTACATCGGCTGGCCCCGCAAGTCATTGTATAGGCCACATCGCATTCAAACGCCACTACGAATGTACAAATGGAAGTAGAATGCGTGCCGCATCCCAAAAAGGGATTGATCAACGGCAAATGCTTTATCCTTTTTCCTTATATGGGCAGTGTTATTTGGAACAGACGCTTCTTGAATATAAAAATTCTGACTTTCACCACGGTGGCATCATAAATCGTTACGGGCCTGGAACACAATTTCAGATCTATTGAGTTTTGAATGGAACCCAACACGGTCATCATGAATCGGGTTTAATAAACTCAGTACTCTTCCCCTTTTTAGTTGGCTTTGAGGGCATGTAAAAGAGGGATGCTCATCGCGCTAGACGGACTGGCCAGATTTTGAGGGATGTTGATTCTTAACACAGTTATGCTCAGCTGGGATACTGGACTTCGACACTAAATAGATCTGTTCTGCTGGATGTGACACGAGAAAATCCTCTGAAACGGCATAATGACTAAAAGTGCAATGAGGCGTTGAGCAGGGAAAAGAGAACAATGGCATTGTGGCGTATGGAAAAGTCTCTCAATCAACCGAATGTGCAAAGGGTAAGAATGGCAAAAACTGGTAAGCCATCGGTGCCAAGAAACAAGGTAACGAAATGGATGTCTAAAGCTGTAAACAGTTGAGGAAGAGCTCATTGTTGCTCTTCAGAGAACTCCAACGCAATTGCGTAGGAACCATAAGGGCCCTTTTCTGATTACATTACTATGATCAAATGCAGCCCTAGTTAAAGACTTCCCATGAGTTTCGCAGAATTCCAGCAGATATCCCAGGAGATACACACTTTTTCGATAGCGGCAGAGTGTTTCCCACTCGGTGTCGGTGCTCGGTTCAGTTTCTCATGCTCTTTGTTGTGAAAGAGTACCATACCCGAAGCAAACATTTGCTCACACTCGATACCGTCATAAAAACCTTTCGAGATTACTTGAGCAGATTCTCTCACCTCATGCACCGAGTTATAACACATCGAACGGGATCGAGATGGTTTCCGATGTGGAACACCCGTGCATTTTTCCGATGGATCCAGCGGCGGCACTTTTTCAAATCCGAAGGGAACCTGAAAGCAAGCAGTAAATGCCGCATTCAGTTCCAAAATAACTCGTGCATTGACAGAGCGCTGAAATGCCAGAGAATGTGCTCGTTTTCAAGCGCGTTTCTGACGACTTCATCTGATGTTTGTTTCTCAGCGCTAGCTAGTCTCGACGAGTACAAATGAAGCCAATTGTTACATGAGCTCTGAAAGTATAGAAGCTGATACCTCCGATGGCTCGACCTTCGGACACTGCGTTTCGTCGTAGCAATTGTCGGAGGTTTTATCCTGGATGATCCACACCATCACCAAATTTGTCCCTTCAACAAAGGCGGCTTTCATTTTCCTGAAAACAAAACCTAGATTTCGACTTTTCCACAGGAGCACTTCATAAGACAGATCACCATCGTCAGTCGAATCGGCCGCACTTGAGATTCTTTGACAAAAAGACTTCGGAAAGCCCCCTGGGAACGTAGGCATATGGCACATCGCGTGCACTTGAAGCGGACCGCTGCTTTTTTTTTTGAAAAAAAAGTTGGCGCAATGTTCGAGTTTACTTGGTGATTCATAAATTATCCAACTCTCCACAAAAAAATGCTTAGCGAACTTGCTGAAGTATTATCGATTCGATGTTTCGTGACATTATACACACGGAGATTTCTCGGGTGCTCTTCCTAAAAAATTCACAGGGATCGTTGGTAAGTTTGCTATTGCTACTACAGAAAATATCACAAGATTATTGACATGGCATTGAACACTACCCGCATTGAGAAGATGTATGGGAAAAATTTGAAAATAACGGCCAGCGAGTGCTAAGACTGAGACGTTAGAGTTTTGTTGGGGTATGGGGTACACAAAGCTGTGCGAAGGTTGACGTCCTGCCTCGTTGTTTCCTAACCCTTTGACGACCGCCGTTATGAATGCGTCACTTCACTTCTTTCTAAATTTTTTCATCAATAATCATTAACTCTCCAACAATTTCACTATTAGTAATTAGCGCATTATTCCGCGAATTCGATATGTATTTGTGTAGTTTTGAAACATAAAAAATGCCAAAATAAACCCCTAAAAACGTGTCGCCACCGAGCGAAAGTGTGGCCCACCGGCGGGCCACACGGTCGTCAAAGGGTTAAAGGCAAGCCCCGGGATAAAATTGGTGATAGGAGCGCTTCGTAGTGATGACTGAGCTGCGGAATAGCCTAAAAGTGGAAAGGAAAGCAAAGAGAAAAAGCCCGATTTTATAGTTTTCTACATCAGTCAAAGTTTATATAATAAGTAGTAAAATAACATAGCTCGAACCCCTCAAGCCTCCCTTCTCTTACTGACGAGCACAGAGAAAGGACATTCACGGTACAAACCCTGTCTAGGGACACGTGCGGAACGGAGACTGAACTATGTACCCTCAGAATCCTACTCCCTTCGAGTGAACTTAAGAAAAGTTAAAAAAACGGCCATTCAGTTAGAAACAATGGAGGAACTTTAAGTATCAAACTACTTTTCGAATCCTACCCCCTAAAAAATTTTGGGAAAAGTACATAAATAATATTGAGATCTAGGAACAACTTTTAGTTTTATAAGCTGAATGGTTCAATTACATACAAAATCATTAATTATTATAAGTAGAATACTTCAATTATATGTTAGACAAATGATTTCATGGTTGAAACTAACAAAAAAGTGATTCGTGTACTGCTTCCATTTCAATTTCTCTTCATAAATTCATTTTAACAGTGGCCAGAGGTGTTGAGTCCTTCCTCGACAACATCAACTCGGAGGCATCCACGTTGCCCAGCTATCCTCCATTTCGGAAAAAGAGAAGAGCGTCGAGTGCAGACCACACACCACAAGTGACGACGGCCAAGAAAAAAAGAAAAAGCCACTTTTTTCTTGGCCGTCGTCACTTGTGGTGTGTGGTCTGCACTCGACGTTCTTCTCGTGTTGAAAGATACATATGTATGGTTGGTTATCCCATGCAGAACTTGTCTTCAAAGAATAATCTATCAGGATGAACATGGCGCGTACAATAGAAAATTACATTCAGCTGATAAATGAGGGTCGAATGCGTGGCGCGTTCCAAGAAGTGACTGAATTACCTGGTAGCTTTATTCTGCACTGCCTCTTGCAGAATGTCGTTCCGATTTCATGGAACTGTTTGTTACTTATTGGGGTGGTTAACGATTGAAGGAGGAAGGGACAAATAGAGAAGCACATGCGAGGGAAAGACCATGAATTCTGGCATTTTCTTCAAGGAAATGGCATACCCTGGCCACGGGTGTAGCAACTGAAGCCACTAGAATTTGAACAGAAATCAAGTAAGAAGGTGCCAAGGGGAACGCTAGTTAATAAAAATAAAGTTAAAGTTAATAAAAAGCAAAACCATTGAAAACACACTGAAATTTTGAATACTGATATTTTTTTTATGAGTTCGACCACGTGGTATGACGGAAAGACAGAGCTTCGAGGGTCCTGCTACCCTCCCCCGCTCCCTTGAGGAAAACTGTAAGGATATGATCACGGCTTGCTCCTTAATCTGCGCTTGTCCAAAGAGCTGACGAGATATTCAGCATCATCAAGCGAATATTTCTTGGACAAAAAAGTGGATTTGTGGCATGCTTCATTTACTCACACTCTGCGGCAGGTTCTCGAAGAGCTCACCTAAAAATCTGCAATATGATCTCAAAGGTAGTGGCCACGATGAGTGGAGAGCGGTGGGGTTCCGATTATATCATCGAACGTCATTAGCGAAGTAGATCCTTTAGTACAATAGGGTGTGATTTAGACCGTCTCATGCCATCCTTTCACAAATGACATACAATGACGGCGTCAAAACCGCTACCTCAAGCCATCGTGATAGCTGCATATGAAATCTGCCTATTAAATCAGTGCCCACGCCACCCATATGGGATCACTTACACCGCACTCTCCCATTGTTTGATCCTCCCCTCAGCTGGCTAAAATCCGCATGGTGAGAGTCATGTAACCGTTTGAGGAACTCCTTCCACCCAAGCGTGAATGCGCTCGTTAGCAACTTTAACCCCAACATCCGTACTACAGCAAAAGGCAACATAACCTATGTTTTAGTTCTGCCTGCCTTTTGTATTTCCGCGTTTTTGCAGTAATGGTAGACTCAATCCAGGGCTCATCGGTATGCGCTGAAAGCTGAACAAGTTTTTCATTCGCTTCATGAAGCTAGGTTCTTCTTCGCGTGTTCCTATTCGTCTTCGTAAAGGCCACAAAAAGCATCATTTACATGCCTGTGAGCAGTCAAATCAAATCGTTCTCATCAGCATTGGGAGATTAGCCGTGCGATGCTGAATAATGAAGGAGAGGAAATAACGAATTGCCAATGGATTTCTAGGGTCTCGTCGTTTCCTACTAGCACTGGAAAATAAAACGGCGGGAAATAAATGAAAGGAATCTTTCGCAGAACTGGTCATTCTTGTCTTATGTATAGGTGTTGGGCATGGTCATTGAAGACCATGTGCAAAGTTCGGAGCGAAAAGAGTGAAATACCCAAAGATACAGCACCTGGAAGGCTCACATGTAGGACCGAAACGGACCAGTGGCGGAGCCGGAGTCGAAACAAGGGGGAGTTGCGGGTCAACGTGCAAGTTAAAGGAGGAATTCACGATTAGAATGAAGGTCGAAGAAAGGGAAACTGACCTAGTTGAGGGACCCACGGACCTGAGGGTGCGAACTGACGCGCAATTCGCATGGAAAAATTTGACCTCGGCGACCTCATGCCTCAAAGCTGGCGGGTCCGGCGATCTCCGCCCACCGATCATCTGATCACTCGCCGTAGTTCAATACGTGGCGAGTGATTAGATAGCTGAGAGAGCGTAGTGTTGAAGAGGGCACAGCGATGAGAGTCGCATCAATGCTCGAATCAACGGGCAAGGAAGGGGTCCATTTCTCGGGTTCTGGGCCGTTTCTCATGGTTCTTCCTTCTTTCGTGTACCACTCACCATCCCTAGGTTAATTTGAAATGGGTTGCTTTTTCATCGTGAATTCGTCCTTTAAGGGAATCCAAATAATCCTGTTGAAGTTCACGCTTTCGACACATTTGCGCGTGTTGAATCCGCGCCGCTATAGTTGTGGAATTTTCACGGCGGGAATTCAAATTTTTCGTAGTCTAACTATCCTTTTGCTATCCTTATGAGGCTAGAGGCCTAAAGTATTTTTTGTAGGAATGAAGGCGGAGTTTTCCCTTGGAAGGCTCCTTTAACACTTAGGAGACCGAGCGTGTTTTACGTTCCGCGGCCGCGCGGGACTTCGGTGAGATTTTTAGGGATCTTATCTAGCAAATTCAAAAGAAGAACCCACTGTGTAATGCAGAAGAAATCTTATCGGATAAAATGGAAAAAAATGAATGGAAAACCTAATAATTGTTTCCGAAATGCGAGTCCTATGCTGTCGGAGAGGTGCAGCCCGCAAATGGGCCGCGTGGGCACCAAGGTGTTAAGCTTGAGATCAATCCGCTCATCGGAATTAGTAGAAACTGCTCATAGGTGTGAGGTGTGTAACCCACTGTGCGAGAAAGGACTGTCAGCGTGTGTTCTCGGAATACTTTCTTGCTGAATAACTCCCCAGCATATTTTCGACAGCACTGCATGGTGAACGAAAAGCCTGTCGGTTTTAAACGTTCACCAGTACAACGACTTTACTTGACCGTTGGGTCAGGCTGGAACGGGAGATTGGCCATGCGATTGTGTTTCGATGCATGACGTGGTGCATGACGTGGTATTATAAAAAACGAGGCAAATTTAACGAGAAAATACCCTGTTATAGTGAAACTGGTAAAAATAGCAGGGAAGTTATCTTAAATTTTGGGTTAAACATATGAAAATGAGACCGCAACGAAAAAAGCACTCGCTGAAACTGAAAATCTTTTCGCGATGAAGATGACTGTTTTGAAAGGAATACATCCAGTAAATGACCCGTTCAAGACGCTGGATAAAGAAATTTGGGAAGAGAATAAGACTGTGAAGGGAGAAGCTCCTCGAAGGGCTCGTTTCAGGTCATTTTTGACATTTTATACCCGCCTAAATTTTGTTGCAAGCTACTATTTTCTCCTACTGCTTGTCATTTGTCCAAACCACGATTTCATCGTCACATATCGGACCAGAATTGGCCGGAGGTCCCGGCACAACGGCACAAAGGAAACACTTTTTTCAGAAGGTCGCGCTGACTTGTTAAGCAACGCTTGTCCTCCTCTATCTATTACTCTCGTGGATGGCACAGGTGAGCCTGCCTAGTCCCGTAGATGCCTTCAAATCCATGCGGCAAGCACGACAAAACGAATCTCCATTAGAAATAGGATGTCTAAGTTGCGACTTACACTGAGCATTTTGCGGAATCAAAAGTGCATGGCCGATCCGATCGATTCATATCCACCAGACTCGTGCTCTGTGGCCGGGATCTTCCATCCTGAAAATGGCAGCGCTATATATTAGGTTGGAAAGAAAGTTCTGCGACACTCTTTCTAAAATTTTCTTTCTTTCTGAAAAATCAATAGGTAACATTTATGACTAACAAATGGTAGAACATTCTCGTGGCTTTAATCCACGAGGTGGATATAAGTGCTGCAGTCAATAGTTATCCAAGAAAATTCAAAAACCCCGACCACTGGTAAATCCACACTTTGCAGGACTCTCTTTCCAACCTAATATTTTTTATTCGATCAGGACTTATAACAAAAAAAAATCACATCACAAATGAAGTGATAAACGCACGCTATTCGACAGGTAGAAATAGGATTGCTTGGAGCATGGAAAACCATCGCTTCCTTCATGGAAACTTGCAGTGTAGGCTAAAAACAAATATCAACAAAGATGATTTTGAAGAATACACTTTGATATTTTCATCTCTTAAAGAGTTGCTTACTGCGACCTCGGGGTAAGAGCAAACTTACATTCAACTGGTTTAACAAAAGAATGGAAGAAATGAAGTAGTGGAATATTGCTTTGCCAGAAGAAGAAGCTGATAAATAGATGACATCAGCCAACGATAGATCGAGTGGAAAGGCTGAAATAATGAGCACTAATTACTTGACTTGATAAATCTCAGCGGCCATGGTTTGAGATTTATTGCAGCAGGTAGAGGAAAAAGAAACCCGCCAACCAGACGGTCGTGACAGGGAAAACTCGAATAATGATGACGACAGACTTTTTGCGCAAACTTTAAAGAACATTCAAAAAAGTTTCCTCAAACCAACCTCTTGGTTCAAAACGAAGCGATACCGTGATGTTGCACAATGCTGACTTCAAACCGACCATTAATTGCAAGAAAAATCGAAGAGACACTGATGCAACACACCAGGTGTGCCTCCCACCGGATCTCTCCTTCGATCTCCCCATAAGTTAGGTAAGGCAGCCGCCTCACACCACCACTCTTTGCTTATCAACCTCCTCTCCGCTGCCAAAATATATCCCACTCGATGGAAAATAAAAAAAAAACTTTTTGAAGGCGCTACTACGCATGGCTCCGATATTTCCCAATCAACTTCAAGTCGTTGTCTACGAACACACACTTGACTTAGCTTATATTTCATTCAGATGCTCTTTCCAGCCTTGAGGTAAGAATATATGAAAACCCTGTCCATCTTTACCAGTGGGAAGCGACCACCCACCGGTAATTAAAATCCGAGGTCAGGGGAGCACTTCACCGATACCATTCGCAAATTCGCGGGCGGCAGTAAAATAGAGGGACAGCAACTTACTAGAATTGAGAGGCCGAAGAACCGATAAAAGAGGATTCCGTGAGTGGCTCTTCAAATGAGTGCATCGTAATGGCACCGGCGTCGTAATGACGTCACGTTACTAAGATTTTTGCGATGGAAAAGTTAATTTTGACTCAATCAGGGCCCAAAATTCACAGACGGTGGTAGCGAAAAAAAATCGGAAACTCGCCATCAGTGGAGCTTGCTCCGTAGAGTGAGCGAGCATTTCATCTTTTTTACTCACGTGGGACAGAAACGACTTTGCGAGCGCGCCGCCTCACCCCACATCCGTAAATGTCGAGAAGTCGGAGCAGGGCAACGAGGACATGAAAGTAGCAACGGGAGGTGGGACAACAGGTAGCGATTATGGTACTTTTTTGACCCGAGGAGGGAGTTGGGCTAAAAGTCTCAAACTCTTCAAATTGTTAGATGTTCACACCAACAACCGATGAGCCATATCTTCCAAGAATGAAAGCTATCGGAAAGAAGATGGAGTTTATGCATCGTTCACAAGTTCAACAGAAGTGAGGAAGCTACTGACAAGGGGGTCTTTCAGGGCAAGCCGCGCTTTTTCAAAACGGTTTCTGCATATTGTAGGGACGCATGTATGGACCACAAAACCATGTTTCGTTTTCGCTGAACGGTTTTAGTAGTACCAAAAAAGTGGTGATACCTTGATGGTTCGATCCCCCGCGGCGACTAAATTTTGCAATCAAGGTTGGCGGCCACTTGTTGGCTTCAAAATGGTCCTGACGATGAATATGACATCTGATTTTGATATTTAGCGCGATTTGGCACCAAACCGTAGGCGCCAACCCAAATGCAAAATTTAGTCGCCACGGGGGATCGAACCATTAACAGTACCTTATGCTTCTTTTTTGGTACTGCTAAACCGTTCAGCGAAAATGAAACATGGTTTTGTGTTCCCTACATGCGTCCCTACAATATGCACAAACCGTTTTGAAAAAGCGCTGCCTTGCCCTGAAAGACTCCCCTTGTGAGAGAAAATCCTGTATTCTTGGGCCTTGTGAAGAAATTTGATCGATTGAGATGATAATTTTCATTTAAGGTCAAATTAGCTCCTCCAGTACACAAGAATGATCATAGTAACGTACGAGAGGGCACGTGTAACAGTTATTTTGTCCGGGTTTTCCAACGGGCTTTCTTCGCTGCAAGCTTATTGTTCATTACAACTTTATCGAAAACATAGTTCACGAATAGAAAGATCACGGTACACGTATAAAGCGGGAGGCTGCCAGTACATACACAACGACCTTTTCTCCATTGCCAATGCTTATGGAGTGATGCGAGTGTACATTCAAAAATCCTGCACAATGAATCCAAGAGAATGGATAAATGAATAAATGACAGAGTTGATTCTGAGAAGTACACTTGCATGTGACAAGAGCAGGTTGAGTAGTATAAAACAATTTGTCATGGAAACGCTACTCAATTAATCGAGAAATTGAATTCTAATTCCTCATGAATATTAAAAAGAATCTACTCGAGGAAAACAGAGGAAGAAATCAAGAACTGGAGGGGAATAACTTCTACATAAATGCAAAAGCGCTAGTGGAGAAGATCCGAGCAAGGGAAGCATTAGAAGCAAAGCTTATACTTAATATAAAAACGTGTTCATATCCAACCAAGTAATGACATCACTCGTTGTGAGACCCGATTAATTCCGCCAAACCATTGACTGATATGCTTGCCTTTGTGAACTGGATCCTGAAGTAGATCAAATGCGCATATGGTCATGAAAAGGAGGTTCAACAGCAAAAAAATGACCTCTAAGTAATCCCTCATATACATGTTCGCCTTTGATTTAGCTGTAGAACACATAGCCCATTGCCAGTCCTAACAGCGAGCACAAACCAGCAGCACGTAGTCATCCTGAACCAATCCAATGAGTAATATCCTTCCAGCACATCCATTTAAAAAGTGCTAGAAGCTTTATGAAGAAATGTTCACATAGAAATTGTGGCTGATTCAAAGGGGGAGTTTACGATCGAAGCCCAGTCCATCAAAATAAGATAGAGCTGATCGGTACTACCGGGAAAGAAAAAAATATGAGAAACGGCCCAGAACCCGAGAATGGGACCCTTTTTTGCCGTTGATTTCCGCATTGATGCGACTCTCATCGGTGCTGCCCTCTTCAACGCTAACGCTCTCTCTGCTAAACGGCTAGAGACCTGCGGCGAGTGGTTAGCCAGTCGGTGGGCGTGCCGCGCCGATAGCGCCGCGGGCAAGGTCATGCTGGCTCGCCGCGGATCATTCGCTGTAAATTGCGTGCCGGTACACACCCTTAGGCGGTCTGAATGTTGTTTCTGCTAGGAAGCTTTTTCGACTTTGTCGTGAAATCCTCTTTCATGGGTAGACTTTCCGATTTTTTTCCGGAAAATTGTATGGATTCAGTTAACCTTAACTTAATTTTCAGCTGACAACATTTCCTGTACTACAATATTAGGTGTTTCAGAAATTTTGTCGTTTTCTGACACTCCACTTTTGGATGCTTTATTTCCCTTGAAATCTAGGAAAGCTGCAATTGATGTTGATGTCATTTTGAAGAACTTTTCCAGCTCTATCCAATGCTCAGCTCAACTTTGTTGTAAATCATTTTCATACATTTTTTCGAAGCTTTAAAGGACGAATTCACGATGAAAAAGCAACCCATTTCAAATTAACCTAGGGATGGTGACACGAAAGAAGGAAGAACCATGAGAAACGGCCCAGAACCCGAGAAATGGGACCCCTTCCCTTGCCCGTTGATTTGAGCATTGATGCGACTCTCATCGCTGTGCCCTCTTCAACACTACGCTCTCTCACTATCTAATCACTCGCCACGTATAGACCTGCGGCGAGTGATCAGATGATCGGTGGGCGTGCACTGGCCCACCGCGCCAAGATTGAGCCTTAATAGGTCGCCGAGGTCAACTCCTTCGGTGCCAATTGCGCTTCAGTCCGCACCCTTAGGAGGTCCGCGGGTCCCTCAACTAGGTGAATTACTCCTTCTTCGACTTTCATTCTAATCGTGAATTCGTCCTATAAATGCGGCGTACTCGATGAGCAGGTTGGCATGAGCTTTCTTCTTCTAGCTCTATAGACTTGAAAGTAGCGGGAGCAGGTCAAGATATTAACGATGCACTTGGCTCAGATTCGCAATAAATGTGCTCAAGCAGTAGTTCAAAAAGTTATTGTAACGAAAGCGAGAGCCTTGAATATGATGAGAGTAGTGGTCGGACATCGGACGGTGTCTCCGATTAGCCAAAAGTTCTGATTGAAGCACTTGTGCGTAAGACCATAGAGGAGGTTCTGCCCAACCTGGGCGTATATGGTTTGTACAGCCAAGCTATACGGAAGAAGCTGGAAAGTCCAAAAAATTTGATAGGGGCGTGCCGCGACAAATCACCAATTTGAAGGGTCGTCCATCAAATTGTCGCTTGTTTTATGTGATGAAAGCGACTCGTTTTCTACAGATTTGCGACGTACAATGAAGAGCGGATTCTTCTCTACAGCCCACGAAGCTTTGCTGAATAGATCGACGGCGATCAAGCTCTACAAACTTTGCAAAACTTAAACTGTGCTGAAGGAGGGTTATGGCAGCTTTCATGGGTCAGCGGCTGGCCATGTTCTTCAGTATCAGGTGGAACTGTTACAGTGGAGAATCAAT